GGTTGAAACATTGGCACAAATAAAGAATTTAAAAAAAATCTTTAAAAGACTGCTTCCTGAATATTTATCACCCATGATATTAGCTCATTGCTATTTATTAAACAAATTACTTTAGATCTTAGAAAAACGCTACAGAATAGGTAAATTTAGATCATTTAAACATAGTAAAGTCCAACCAAATTAATAAAATTAAATTGACAATATATTAAAGGCATTATCAAGAAAGATGGTGATAGGCAACCATTTTGGAATTGAACAGTTTTAGAGTAAAGACAATCTATACAATGTCACCAATTATTTAAATAAAAAATCTGATGTGTCGCTCGCATGACTTTTCTATCGATTTTAAAAAAATTAGTATAATTTTAAACATGTTCATTAAAGATAACGCAATTGAATTAGACTAATTTTTCTGATAACCGATCAGAGAAATCATTACTATCTGTTTGATGAATTAAAGCATTGTTAACGAGCAAGTGAATAATTATTAAAATCATTGTATAAAATGCAAAACACTGCAGGGTTGATAAAACTGGTCCGATTTAGACGATTTTTTGTTAATTTTGTCGGAAATTTAATGACTTTTAATAAATGTTACCGCTATATATTATAGAGATATTACCGTCATTTTTCAGAAACCTTTTTGGAATGATTGTATTTTATACAAGTATCGTATTATACAATACAAGATTTTTTAAGTGATGAAATAAGCAGTTGTTTTATATTTTCAAACTTATTCCGCCTTAGTTAGGGTCGTTGCTATATCGGGCAAATTCGGATATTCCCTATCGATATGGACATTAGTATAATATCGACTGAAATTGATAGCAAAATGAAATCGTAGAGATGCTTATCAAATATATAGTCGGTTTCATGAAAACATTTATTAAGTGACTTTTCATAACCTAAAACTAAGAACATTGATAAATTTTCTCTTTGTAAAATAAAAAAAAATGTAAGCTTATTGTAATTATGTTTGATATATAAGGGTTTGTGTTAATTAAGCGTACTTGAGATCAAAATTTAAAAAAAAAGTTCTTAAAAGCTCCTTCAAAAAATCACTTATTGGCTTTTTCCAATAAACTGACAAAATGAACGGTTTTCTTTTATAGAGTTGTAACTCCATTTTGTAATATATAGAGATATTTAAGGCTTAATGTTTTAATGGTTTAAAAATTATTGGTTTTATGTTAATACGTTCTATGATTTTATACATTTTATGATTTTTAAATATTAACTTAAATTAATTTATGCTTATTTTAACATCCGATATTGGATTGTTTCTTTCGATAATGCGATAATATCGAATCCATTCTTTCGATACGATATTAAATAATATCGAAAGGAAAATATCGATCGATGTAGAAACACGAAATATATATATATATATATTTAAAATGATATATATATATATATATATATCATTTTAAAGTACTATATCGTATATTTAAAATAATTTCTATATTATTTTTTTTTGTCCCTCGCCCTAAAAACATTATGATCTTCCTCCCCTAAAGATTTTTAATTGGACGCCATATACAACAGATGGTATAATTATGTTATGCACAGCTTGGTTTAATTATTTATGGTAATATTAATGATCCTTTCATGGAAGCTCGTGATTGGTTATCCTTGGTCAGATAACGTCATCTAAACGATTCTCCTAAATTTCTGGTTAGCCACGCGGATATTTGTGATTCATCTATAACTTAATTTAAAATAAAATTATAATTTTTTATTATATTGGTCAATAGATATTCAGGAAATTGAGAAATAAATGGTATGGGTCAACAAAATTAGTTATACGCAAACTAATTTTATTATTATTATTATATTTGATCCTAAACAATACCAATTGACGAATTCTTGAAATAATCTAGTGCCCAAAATCCGTATTTGTTAGCAGTATTGGTCTTGCGAAAATGCTAGAACTGATCCTGCAAGATTCGATCTATAACAAGACTGACCTGCAAGACACTTAGGTCTCGCAGTTATGTCAAACTGATACTTGGGCGTTATTGAGTATTTTATTTCAATATTGGTATTTATAGACGTTTCTAAGTATTGGTGTCAAAACCACGATTCCTTCCATCAAAAATATATATCTTGAGCTCAATATTTTAGCCATGCGTTAAATCTAAACAGTGGTTTGTTTTTTTCTTTTCTAATAAGCTTAGCTCTCCAAATAACAAAAAAAGTATTATGTGCAAGATAAAATATAAAAAGAAAAAGAAAACGCTTTTTTTTGTGAATAAAAGTTAAGAAAAACCATTCAACTGGACAATTTATAATTATTTTCGAATTAATTCTATTAATTTGGTTGGAGTTTCCTGTGTCTATGTCAATATAAGCTCAAAATTTACGTATTCTGTTGCAATATTCTAAGATGTAAAATAACGTATTAAATAAATATCATGTGTGATTATAGCGCCTTTGCTCAGCTTCTACTGGTCCTTAATATTAGTAACGCGGTTGAGTGAGAGGCGCTGGGATCTCCCAGAGTCCTGCCTTTCTGTCTGAGTGAATGGATTCTGTAAATATTGTATACATGTCTTATTAAGATGTTATTTTGATTAGTTTAGTTCTTTTGGTTTATATACTTTAGTATTATTATTTTTGTGTATTATTTATATTTATTTATTTGATTTATTGTGTGAATGTGCTCTCTGAACACTATTTAAATCTCCTTAATTCTGATGGATTGAAATATTTATCAATAAATAAGTTTTAAAAAATAAATAGCAATAGGCTAATAGGTTATTGCGAGACTTGTAAGACCGAAACCAATACCAAGATTGAGTACGGAATACCAAGACGATGATTAGGTGTGTTGATACAAAACCAACTGGACGAGACTGGCTAAGTCTTGAATTTACGAAACAGTAAAGCAATCCCTTAAAGTAAATCATATATAAGTAAAAAAAGTATGTTTGATGATAACAAAATGGTGAAATCTAAACACTGTATACTTCTTAAAAAAACGGAAGTTAACTCAATTATTTGACAAAGAGGTTCCCCTTAACTGTGGCGCAATCTTCTTTTCAAGAACTTACGAAACATGGATGACTCTTCGACTCTCACGCCTCAATTTATGCTAAACGGAAATATTTGCACAACTTTCACTTCATGGAATAGGTCATGAGGAAAAAATAACTTGGCATATATTTTTTTAAAAATTATAATTTCATATTTACAAGGACTGCCCGCCCTGGATGCAGTTGGAAAGTACACTGAGTACAAGAGAGGTACACGAACACCAGAGAGGTACATGAACTCCAAGGGGGTACATGAACTTGAAAAGAAAGCGTTCACTTTCACCGAGATAGAAATGCTTAATGTCGCCTCAGTACTCCAATGACGCCACAAAAGACTAAATGTCTTGTTCTGTCTAGAAATTGCAAACATTTCAGATCATTGAAAAATTTAATGGGTACAAAAATAAATGTATAATAAACTCGTAAATTAACAAATAATATGCTCAAAATTAAATGTACATATATCTTAATTTTCCAATTTACGGAACGACATTTTATCTAAATCATTAATACTTCGTGATTTTTTTTAAAATTATTTATTGAATAATATAACAATCTGTCACATGGACATTGGATAAAAGGAGGGAGATAAGATAATATTCACACAATAAGTACAAAAATAATATAATGATAAGGAAAAAAATAACTAAATAACATCAAAGAGTATATAGAATTAAATACTGAGTGATTTCATTTTATGAAACGTTATTTAATGAGTTTTTACAATAAACTAATGAAACAGTCTTTGGTTCAGACTCCATTTTATTAAATTATTAATATCCATCTAAAACTTCGTAAATGTCGAGAAAAAAAAAGGTGGCCTACACAAAATTATAGGACCGTTGGCGTCACCTTCACCCCTAAAATATTAAAATAAAACGAGGTTACACAGGGTGTTTCAGGGTTAAGTGGCCAAACTGCAAAAATGAACTAAGTACCTCAAAACAAGAAAAAATTTTCTCTTAAGGTATGTCCGCAAACGCTTTGTTTAGGAGATATTCACGCCTAAAGATTTTCGTTGTTATGAATTATTTACGTTATATGAAATAAATAAAACCTATTTATTTGTTATAACTACTTTAGTAATTAAATTTAAATATTAACATTCAGATTAAATGTTGTTAATATTAAATGGCTAAATGTTAATTATCCCAATCAATGGATTGGCCATGCAGGACCAGTGGCTTGGCCTGCACGCTCTCCAGACCTGACACCACTGGAATTTTTTGTTTGGAGTGACATTAAACAAAAAGTCTATGCAATTATAGTCCATGAACATTATTCCTTAAGAAGAAGTAAAATTGAAACTTGTGAAACAATAACACATATGCCACTGCTGCTGTTGAAGAAAGATGCCGAGCCTGTCTTAATGCTCATGGAAATCACTCTGAACAACATTTAATATGAATTTAATGTTTACGTTTAATTAATATAGTAGTTGGAACAAATAAATAAGCTTTATTTACTCAATATAACGAAAATAATTCATAACAATGAAAATCTTTAGATATGAATATCTTCTAAATAAAGCGGACATACCTCCAAAGGAATTGTTTTGAGATCCTTAATTCATATTTTCAGTTTGGCTAGTTAATCCTAAAACACCTTGTATGGTCCAAACGACCCAATATTTTTGTAGGTCACCTTTTTATCGAGTTTTTGTTCAAATCATCTTACGAATGGAAAGCAAATTTTTATTCATGAGTTTTTAATAGCTCATAAAATTAATTAATTTAAAGAGAAAACTCAGTACTATCGAGTTTTTTCTCGTAAATATAAAAAATTGCTTATGATGAAATGAATCCATTCAAGAAGTTTTAGACGGATGATAAGATTAAATACGTTATACATGATTTACTACACACCACTAGAGGACAACTCTCGCAGTATCAACCTTTAGTAAAAATGTAGGTCCTCTTTAGGTTTCTTCTGCAACAATTAACAGTTTCTAACATTTCTTTCCAGATCCTAGTAATTGGACGACGGAGGAGGTAGGGACTTGGTTGGCCTGGAATTCGGCGCAGTACGGCCTGCCTGGAGATCGCCTCCAGTTCTTCAGGATGCCTGGGCAATCTCTCACCGCCCTCACCGAAGAGGACTTCCAGCAGAGGGCACCAGAGGTATGTGCGTTGCATAGTTCATAGCTTAGCCTCTCAGGAGTTCTGAGAAAGAATAATTGAGAATCTTGCATATCTGTATATATATATCGCTGTGGTTTATGGAAGTAATCTACAAATTTAGCCAATGTAGATATTATCACTAAATAAAGGATATTACTTCACTTGAAAATAAGAATGATTTTTAGAATATATATGCAGGGTGTTCCATAAAATATTTAAAAGGCTAATTGTAGACACCGAAATCTATAAAAATGTTATCTACAAAAATCGCAAATCATTTATGATTTTTTTTTAAAGGGAACTTAGATGAGTTCATCCGCTCAAAAGTTGTCTTTAAATAGTTTCTACAATGACAAAATCTATTTTTATTTGAAGTAAATTTTATCTAGTTTACTATAAAGCAATTATAATCACTCGAATAAGGATGATAGACAGTACAGCTCATTTTATTAGGCTGATGAAGTTAAATTATAGTAATAGATGTATTATATCACTTCAGTAACCGATACATAATTTTGAGTTAGGTTGAGGATACTAGATGTGCATCATAGCACAGGCGAATCTATGGAGAGAAGGGTTTATATATATATATATATATATATATATATATATATATATATATATATATAAAACCTGTTACCGCTACAACCCTAAGAGGAACTTTCATATAAAGGATTCAGTAATATTTAGAGAAAGTACTGTTTCTTAGTATCCAGTTGTGCAAGGAGGTGATTTGACCGAGATCACGCTCATCCACCAGGTTTTCTCCCTTGATTAATTATTTAAGTACGGCTACCCATTTTATAAAGGCTAGGTGTGCCCCAGGAGGGTCTCCTGACAACAAGGTCGCCCCACGGCCAATGAAACAGAATAAATAATTTTTGTGTCATGAGCCTGGATTCGAACCTTCGATATATGTATATATATATATATATATATATATATATATATATATATATATATATATATATATATATATATATCAATATTAAAATTGCTTTCGGGCTGAAGCTCCTCCAAAAATTAAATCCAGTGAACGCTAGTGCTTCTTAGTAACTTTTTTAGTATTTATGATAAAAAGATTTAATTGCAGGCTAACTTTAATCTATTTTTGTTTATGCGTTATAAGTTATTACCATTGTTTGAGTACTTGGCTTGAGTCATTCAGAAAACGAAAATGGAACAATTTTTAAAAAATATTTAGGAGCAATAGAAAATGCATAACTCCAGTTTTAAGGACACTCTATACATGGAGTTTAATTCATGTAAATGATATTTTTTTTTTTTTCAACCCGAATTACAAACAACAATCGAAGTAAAGTTGCAAAGTAAAATTACTAGCGAAAAAATATATTAACTATAATCCCGCGCTTGTTCGAGAAACCTAACCTGGTAAAAGAGTGTAAGTCTGTGGTGATCTCCCCTGGTGGTATAAACCCAAACTACTACTCTACAATTTCTACGACTAAACTATGGTCGAAAATCTTTAAATAAAGAAATTTAGCAATTTTTAGTCAATTGTGTGTGTGTATATATATATATATATATATATATATATATATATATAATATATATATATATATATATATATATATATATATATTATAATATATAATATTATATATTATATACCTTGAAATACGATGCGTTTAGTTTCTAAGCTCTCCCCCAAGAGTGTGTGAAAGTGAGACGAAAGCCGCCCCAGTTGAAGGTCGCTGGCCTCTGGAGCCTTGTCAAGGCGAAGAGAGTAAGAGTCAGAAAATATTATTAAAAAAAAATCATTAAAAAATTATACATTTTTCTTACTAATAATTCATATTATTTTGTCTATAAATATAAGTTCTGATTTACATAATATTTTCTTAAAATAAACGAAACAAACAAAATAATTAAAAATGGATAAATATAAAAATAAAACTAGTAAATTATTTACAAAAATATAGCCGATTATTCTAGTCATTATATAAATAAAAATATATAAATATACATACAAACAGTATCAAAATTTTGGTGGGCTGTGGAAAACTGAATCCAGATTTTCGCTTGAAGTACACGGAATAAGCTTAAGTTACAAAATATTGCTATACCTCGGACCTAGGCTAAATGTATTTTAAATATTTTTTAAAGTACAATATTTAAAATACCATGAATTTTGTATTTTAATTACAAAGTATTTAAGTTGTTTTCAGAAAATGTATACAAATAAATACAAATTATAATAATTATTTTGTATTTTAATTACAAAAAAACACTTATACAAATTACTTTCTAGTGGACAATCTTCATATAATGCAGGGAACATACATAATATTTAGTAAATATTTAATAACATAATATTTAGTAATTTATTTTTTGTATTTAAAATAAAAATAAAATATTTTTTTTGTATTTTAATATTTTAGAAATAAAATACAAATACTTTTTAGTTTTATCTTAAAAAGAAAACAGTGTTATAAACAATATATATATAATATTTTACTTATTAAAATACAACAAATACATATTGTTATTATTATAATACTTTATTTGAAATACTGCCCAAGTCTGCTGCATTTAATCATCTTTGATAAGACTGGTTTGATTTTCATGAATTTTCATTTTATTTTGGAATTCAGTGACTTTTCAAATGATCACTTAAATAACTTTACATAAAATATATTATTTTTGAGTTATGGCCAAATAAAATTTTCGTTTTTTCATTTTTTTCTTCTTTCTAATTTTTAAAAGATTTTAGGAAGAATCAAAATTATCAGAACCGTTTTGGTGCTAGAGTCTAAAAAAAAATATATAGTTTACCAATTGTCGGAAATGATTGTTAATTTTTAACTCTGAGAGCTCTGAAACGAAAAGATCTTTTGAAAACTGTATACTAAAAATTTCTTTGCATCTTAATATTTTCCGAAGATACAGTAGCAGTATTAACGTTACATGATAACATTAAATATTATTAAATATAAAACTGTAATTAAATTAAATTAAATTTCAAAATAACCCCATCTTAATGATTCTCACGTGTAACGTTGAATATTTAAACCAATGATTTAAATTATCAAAAAAAAAATCGAAAAAATATTAATTTTTTTTTTTATCATTCTATAAACCAAATAAAATAAATCAGTTTAAAAAAAACAAAATAAATCAAAACTTGGAGATGCTGACTTCATTGCCTTTTTTTGATATATTTAAATCGTTCTAATTAATTTTAATACTGTATAAAACTTCTCCCTATTGGTTCGAATCCTGACCAATAAAGTTTGCTGGCTCGGAAATGTTTATTCAAATGATGGTTTCCAGGGGCGACCTTGTCAGGAATCTAGTTCTGTCGAGTGGTAATATTAAGGAGAAAGTTTTGAAAGCTTCTGGATATATTATTCTTTTAATTCTGAGAATATTATATTCAGTGTAATATCTAATATTATTAAATTATGTATTTTTTCAATAGTTATAGGCAAAAAAAATATATAATTTATAAAATTTTCCATCTATTAGGGTAAAAAAAAAATATACTATAACTAATAAATCACATTCAAAATGGATATTTTATTTTATTTTTTTTTTTTTTGTTTTTTTTTTTTTTTTTTTTTTTATTGAATAATAATACAATCAGCCACTGTTGGAGGGCTATAAGTATTAAGGCTAAAAGTTCTCATTCATACAGTATATACAAGTAATACAGAAGTAACTATAAATACAAAAAGTAAATAAATAATACTTATAAAAGAATGTAAATCAATAGAAAAAAAATAAAAAAATAAATAAACAAAATAAAATAAAAACTTCTAAACACATTCATACCTATATACAATATATACATTCGCCCAGGAATCTCCGAGCCAGGCTTTTCTCCCCACATGTGGAAAGCAAAGCAGGACTCCAGAGATCCCAGTGCCATTTTTCCAGCCGCATCACTAGTATTAAAAGCCAGTGGAGGCTGAAGGAGGGCACTAGAGCCACAGATGCTCAGGACTTGAGTGGAGAAGCTGGCCATTGCCAGGACTCCAGAAGCATATTTACAATAGATCTCGCGGCCACTGCCGTTTTAACCTTCGAGGGGGATTGTAGGGATGGTGGGAGCTGGATAGGGATTGAGCTAGAGGATTTGGATGATGGATAAGGTTCTGGTGAAAGTTTGAGAATCTGGATGGGATGATGTCGAGGACAAAAGGGATGTTAAGGTCATGGTGTAGGGTCTTATTTGTGACATAATATGAGGCATTGGCTATTGTTCTAAGTACTTTGGACTGGAAGGATTGGATGCGCTTGATATTCGAATGTTTAGCAGTTCCCCACAGTTCAAGTCCGTAGGTCCAGATAGGTTTCAGTATTGTCTTGTAGATTAAAAGTTTATTTTCAATCGAAAGATGAGATGTCCTGCTTAGTAGTCTATATAGCTGGCCATATCGTTGGTTAAGTTCTTGTCTTTTAAGTCTCGTATGTGGGTTCCAAGTTAGTCTTTTGTCTAGAAGGAAGCCAAGGTAACTGACTGTATCTGAGTAGGGAAGTGGTATTGAATTGAAAAGGATTGTGGGACAGGATCTGCGTCGCATATTGAAAGTAATATGTTTACATTTTGCTTCATTGATTTTAATGCGCCAGTCGTTGCACCACTGCTCTATCAAGGAGAGGTGAGATTGTAGGTTTTGAGATGCTATTTGAGGATCTGAGTGGGAGGATAGAATGGCAGTATCATCGGCAAATGTAGCTAGGAAGGTATCGGGATTTGAAGGGATATCGGCAGTGAAAAGGATGTAGAGAACTGGACCCAAAACACTGCCTTGTGGAACACCAGCCTCAACTGGATAGTAAGTGGAGAATTCGGTGCCGCAACGGACTTGGAAGGAACGATTTGAGAGATAGGATTTGAGGACTAGGTATAAGGATTGGGGTAAATGGGTTTTGAGCTTGAAAAGCAAGCCATCGTGCCACACCCGGTCGAAAGCTTGCGCTACGTCCAGAAAGGCACCAGTGCAATATTGCTTGTTTTCAAGTGCAGAGGATAT